ATATAAAGTTATTTTAGAATGGTTTGCTTTATCACTTTTTAGTTTATGCAGAAGTTCACTTTCATTTGAGATTTGAGTTGTACGTTAACTAGAAAGAAAGTCGGCATTCCCGTATTGCATGCAGTATCAAACCATATATGCGAGTCTTTTTCTCGATTGAGAAGAATGGTAATCTGTGCTGGGGTTTGTCTAGAAAAAAAAGAAAAAGAAAAAGAGGAGGGGGGGGGGGGGGCTGTTGGGCCCTTGGGCTTTTGACATATTTGTCGTTTAAATTTCACGGTATAGCCAGTTTTCGGACTGGTCAATCAAAAATAGCCAGCGTTTACCAAGTCAATGAAAAATAGCCACTATTTTGCTGCAATAGAGACCGGTCCAGCATAATATACTGGAGTTCGGTGCACTTGTGTATGAACTCCAGCATATTATGCTGGACCGGTATACTTTGCTGGCTCCAGTATAATATACTGGAGACTGGAGCACCGGTGCTCCAAACTCCAATATATTATACTGGACCAATATACTTGCTGGAACTCCAGTATATTATGCTGGAGTTCTAGTGTACTTATGTTGGAACTCCATCATATTATACTGGAGTTCCAGCATACTTATTCTGGAACTCCAGTATAATATGCTGGAGTTCAAGTATACTTATGCTGGAACTCCAGCATAATATACTGGAGTATTTTCCGGGTTTTGAACAATGTTTTCGCTCAGATTTATCTTTATTAAAAAGTGGCTAAATTTTGATTACTTCTGAAATTGGGCTATTTTTGAACGACCAGTTGTAAGTCTGGCTATTTTTTAAATTTACCCCTTAATTTAATTTGGCCAAAATCACTCAACCCGAACGTTAAACTTTTCTATTTCGTTTAAATTTTTGTTTTGCGAAAATAAATCATAATGACATTATATATAATCAGCGACTAACTTTTTGAGGATGAAAGAGTTGTTCTTACCAACTAAAAGTATTTGGTTGACTTTTATATTCATTAAATTAGATAATATACTAGACAAAATAGTTATTCAATTATTTTCCTAATAAATACAAATACTTTTATTTACTAAATCTTTATTTGTTAGAATTATGCTGTTCTAATATTAAGGACTTTAAAATTAATTATGATAAACTAATAGTAAAACTTAAATACTAAGGGCTCATAGAATCTTCTTAACATTATTCGATCATTATCACAAATCTATATTTATATCTATTTATTATACTAAAAGGCATGAAGTCCCATAACAATATATCGATCGCCTTTCTTACTTTTTCAAAAATAGATTTCGCATTGAATAAAATTTATTTTAAGTTATATTTCTAATAAAAAAAATTTAAAATCTACTAAAATTTATGTATTAAATAATTTTTTATTTGAACTATGTATGAAATCCTATTATTTAGGATTTAAAAAAAAAAAACTTATGCGAATAAGTCATGAACATGTAAAACTTTCTCCAACAAAGTAAACAGATCCAATTAATAACATCTTTAAAATGGACTTTCAAAAAAATCGACAATAAATGATGCAACTTTGAAGTCTATTTCGACTTTCATATATAAACTTTATATAGAATTTAATAATAATATAAATAGACATAGATTCACAGATAATACACTTGAACTCCTTTGATACTTAGATAATATTTTCTCTTCATCAGTTTTTATTTTCATAAGGCAGAACATTGGAGGTCAATAAAGACATTATTTAAATTTTATTTATGTAATTAAATATTCGTTAAAATAGGGTATACGTGCAACACGCGTACCTAAAACTAGTATTATATAATAACTTGAGATCATCGTAAAAATTAAAAAGGGCAGCGCGATACACAAAGCATCTCGCGTTCATGCAGGGCCTGAAGAAGGGCCGCACCCTAGGGTAGTGTGATGCAGGCGGCCTACTTTGATACAAACGTCAATAATTGATTCTATGGCTAGAACTCGTAACCAATAGGTCACACGGAGATAACTTAACTTAAGATTATCATAAAAACTCAAGACTTTAAATTATGAATTTGCCTCCACTCGGGAAAAAATCATTGTGCTAAGATAAAAAGATTGTGGAATTGGACTATGGACCAGCAAATGGCAGCTTTCATGTGGCACAGATTGGTTACATCCAATCAGCCAGACTGCCAGAGATATCTTTCCTTACGTGTAGAGAAAAACAATCAAACAAATAAAGACGAAAGGAGCCCATTACAGCCATACATATGAATTCCGACTATCGATAATTAAGGTACGCACATTTTAAAGTCAGTAAAGGCGCCTCTAACTTTTTGCATATGAAGTCACCTCTCGAGTCATCAAAATCAACAGTTTCATTCACCTCTACAACATATATTGATAAGCCAATCCAACACCCATTGTGTTATTTCTTAACCAAACGTTACAATAATGGTGTCTCTGATTGAGAAATGTGAAGTTGCGCCATCTCCCGGCAGTGCAGCTGAATTGACACTCCCTCTTACTTATTTTGATCATGTTTGGTTATATTTCCACCGTATGCGGCGGATTTTATTCTACAAGCTTCCTATTTCCAGACCCGATTTCGTCCAAACCATTATTCCTAGTCTTAAAAATTCACTCTCGTTCACTCTCAAACACTATTTACCCCTAGCTGGCAATGTTTCTTGTCCACAAGATTGGAGCGGTTATCCTGAGTTGCGTTATGTAACTGGAGATTCTGTATCTGTTATTTTTTCTGAAAGTGATATGAATTTCAATTATCTCATTGGTAACCATCCCCGTAATGCTAAGGATTTTTATAACTTTATTCCTCAGTTGGCGGAACCTAAGGATGCACCTGGGTTCCAATTAGCCCCGGTCTTAGCCATTCAAGTGACACTTTTTCCGAATCATGGCATATCCATTGGTTTCACTAACCATCACGTTGCTGGTGATGGAGCTACCATAGTAAAGTTCGTTAGGGCATGGGCTTTGCTCAATAAATTCGATGGAGACGAACAATTCTTAGACAAAGAGTTCATTCCATTTTACGATAGGTCCGTAATCAAAGACCCTAATGGAGTAGGGATGTCTATATGGGATGAAATGAAGAAATATAAGCACATGATGAAGATGTCTGACATTGTGACTCCTCCTGATAAGGTTCGAAGTACATTTATTATAACACGGGATGACATCGGGAAACTCAAGAATTTAATATTGTCAAGACGACCAAACCTAACTCATGTAACATCTTTCACAGTAACGTGTGCTTATGTATGGACTTGCATAATAAAATCAGAGGCTGCAATAGGTGAAGAGATCGACGAGAATGGAATGGAATTCTTCGGATGTGCAGCAGATTGCAGAGCACAGTTCAATCCACCACTTCCTCCATCTTATTTCGGGAATGCCATAGTCGGGTACGTTGCAAGAACTAGACATGTTGACTTAGCAGGAAAGGAAGGTTTTACAATTGCTGTGGAATTAATTGGAGAAGCTATTCAGAAAAGGATGAAGGATGAGGAATGGATCTTGAGTGGTGGTTGGTTTAAAGAATATGACAAAGTAGATGCAAAACGGTCGCTTTCAGTTGCTGGATCACCAAAGCTTGACTTATATGCTGCTGATTTTGGTTGGGGTAGGGCAGAAAAATTAGAGTTCGTTTCCATTGACAGTGGTGATAGCATATCAATGTCCCTTAGTAAGTCCAAAGACTCAGATGGAGATCTAGAGATTGGTTTGTCTTTGTCCAAAACTCGAATGAATGCTTTTGCTGCTATGTTCACTCACGGGCTTAGCTTTCTGTAGCAAGCCTGGCTAAAGTTATATTTTTACCACAAAATGTAGAGTTGCATTTGCTTATTTTAGTGGAGTGATTAAAATACTTCAAATTGTAGCTGCAATACTTGGACAATTTGGTACTCCCTCCGTTCACTTTTACTTGTCTACTTTGAACTTTTCACGTCCCTTAAGAAATAATAAATGAAGTGCATAATTTAGCATGTTACCATATTAATTGATGCATATTTTTAATGGATTTGAGAAAATGATGTGAAATGAATAATTAATACTATGGGTATAACAGGAAAAAATAAATTATTTTATCTTGATATACTAAAATTGACAAGTAAAAGTGAAAATCTATTTTTAAAATATTGGACAAGTAAAAGTGAACGGAGGGAGTACTAGTCAAGATAAGAGTTCTTTTTTGAAATGTGTGCCCCTTGGTGTATCTTGATTTCGTCCAAATGTTACTTTCTTACTCATCTACTTCGTGATCTTTGTATATTTGGAATATTTCAGTTTTTTTTAAGATCCCAATTTGTTTAAGACCATTTCACTCAGGAGCGGACCTACTTTAGTGGTAAGGGTTACCGGAACGCGTTGGGTTGGTTCCTATGGCTTAAATTGAATTATTTGGTTGGTAATTTGCTATTCCATTGGTCCAGAGGCTTGTGTGAAGGAAAAGTGGTGATTGAGCCATGAGTTTGGTCGAAGGGGCGAGGTAAGTGTTGTGGCTAACCTTAGCTTGAGGGATTAGGTGTTATTTGCTTACTTGTTACGTGTTTGGATGTTGAGTACAACGTATAGGTGAGGTGACGAGTATCTATACGTTGTTGTCGAGTCATAGCATGTGAGTGACTCTTGTTCTTGCAAATGTTGTATTTTTGATCATATTGTCCATGTGTAGACTAGTTATTTGATGTGTTGAGAAGTTTCGTATCATGTTTTATTGAATTTGGTGTTGATGGGGTTTGTACCTGAAGTTGAGATTGGTATTGTGGAACTAAGTGTTGAAGTAAGACTTGTTGTTTCCATTTCTGTCTCCCTATTATTGTTGTCTCTGTTTTGGTGAGGGAGAGTGATAAAGCACGAAAGGTGATATCATGCACGTTTCTATTACTTATGTGGTGAGGTAGAGTGATAAAGCACGAAGGGTGATGCCGTGCACATTTCTATTATTCATGTGGTGAGGTTGAGTGGTAAAGCATGAAGGGTGACGCCATGCATGTTTCTATTTTTGATTATCTGGTGAGGTTGAGAGTAAAAGCACGAAGGGTGATGCCGTGCATTTTCCTTTTGCTGTGTTTAATTGTTATTACTGGTTCAAAGTGTACTAGCTGTTTAAATTTTTCTACTGCTGTGATTCCTTATTTTTGTACCCCCTTAGCATGTTTTCCCCTTCGTTAATATCTGTTTAGCTTTTGTTAGTTGTTATTTCTGTTAGCATGTTGTTTAACAACACAAGTTTATGCATGTGTCTTGTCCTAGCCTCGTCACTACTTTGCCGAGGTTAGGCTTGGCACTTACCAGTACATGGGGTCAGTTGTACTGATACTGCACTCTGCACTTTCTATGCAGATTCGGTACTGGACCGTATTGACTTGAATTGAGTTGCTGTCTTTAGACCCACAGGAGACCCAAGGTAGATTTGCTGGCTTTCGCAAACCCTAGAGTCCCCTTCTAGTTATTCCAGTTTACTGTTCTTTTCATTCAAAGACAATTATATTTTCTTTCAGCCAGTATTTGTAGTGACTCTTAGAAGTTCGTGAATTGTGACACCAGTTTCTGGGTAGTTGTGTATAAGTACTTGTGTTATTATGAAATTCTGCACTCTCTAATCTTTTTTGGTTTAATTGCTGTTATTTACTGATTTGTTCAAGGGTTAGCGTATTAAATCTTTAATAGTTGGCTTGCCTAGCATCTGAAAAGTTAGGCACCATCACGGTCCCGACGGTGGGAAATCTGGGTCGTGACAAATTGGTATCGGAGCACTAGGTTGCCTAGGTCTCACAATTTACGAACAAGCTAGGTAGAGTCTGAGGGATCGGTATGGAGACGTCTGTGCTTATCACCCAGAGGCTACAGAGTTTAGGAACAATTTAACTTCTATTTTTCTCTATTGTGTGATTTGATCTCTCATTGCTAATTGAACTCTTTACTCTTGTTCTTTCGCAGATGGCGAGAGCACATACGACTTCTTCAACTGAGCAGCAGCCAGAGCCCCCAGTGGTAGCTCCTACGAGGGGCAGAGGTCGAGGGCGAGGCCGTGCTAGAGGCCGAGGCAAGGGCAGGGCTCAGCCTAGAGCTCGAGCAGCAGCACCAGCTGCAGAGACTCAGTTAGAGTTTGATGAGGAGGCTCCAGCCCAAACTGTTTCAGCAGAGCCAGCTCAAGTTCCAGAGGGGTTCATCGCCACCCCGGTACTTCAGGATACTTTGGTCCGTCTAGTGGGCCTTATGGAGAGTGTTGCTCAGGTCGGCACATTAACTGTAGCACCAGCTGTCTCTCAGGCTGGGGGAGGAGCCTAAACTCCCGCCACTCACACTCCGGAGCAGATGGCTCCCCAATTTCAGACTCCAGCAACTCAGCTAGTTAGGGTGGTTTCGCCGGGTGCTGCAGCATAGACCGGCGATGGATCTGCTATGTCTTCTGAGGCCTTGTGGAGATTGGATAGGTTTACCAAGCTTTTCACCACTCACTATAGCGCTACATCTTCAGAGGATCCCCGGGACTATCTGGACAGTTGTTATGAGGTGTTACATAACAAGGGGATAGTAGAGACCAATGGGGTCGACTTTGCTACCTTCCATTGTCACGACCCAAAATCCCTCCAAAGGAGTCGTGATGGCACCTAGCCTCTATACTAGGTAAGCCTAACATTTTCTATAAAAACATGGATATTGACTAACTGTAAATTAAATTACTCTGAACAATTACAATTCCCAAAACCGGTGGTACAAGTCATAGGCCTTTCTAAGAGTAGTTATACAAAATAAATACATCACTGTTCCGAAACAAAAGGAACATATGAAAATAAGTACAAATGAAGGTAACTCCGAGACCTGCGAACGCTACAGCAGGTTTACCTTGAGTCTCCACCGCAACGACCCGCATAGCTACTATCGATCAAATACCTAGATCTGTACACAAAAATGTACAGAAGTGTAGTATGAGCACACCACAACGGTGCCCAGTAAGTATCAAGACTAACCTCGGTGGAGTAGTGACGAGGAACAGTCCGGACACCTACTGGTCAAATAAATAGAACGGGACATGATAATAAACTATCAACATAAAGATAACAAAGTAATATCAATAACATGGAGAGAACAAACTACAATCAGTAGAAACGATAAAAGGACACACGGATGGAAACGAAAGACAACCAAGGAAATTAACACCAACACAGCTGGAACACCGACAAGTAAATAGGTACTCAATAAGGAAGGCAATGTCAGCTCAATAAATTATATCATTTCTGATGCACAAATTCCAGCCATCTCAAACTTGATGTCTCATATCATAACCTCAATTACAAAACCTTTGGCACACCGACACCTTGTGCCCATATATTTCTTTCTCACATTGCGCAACAACGTTCTCATATTACTCAGTACATAGGGTCCATAACCCAAACAATTTAAAATGCTCAAGGAGTCTCCTTTACATAACGTGAAGTAGAGTACCACTTCTAAATCAATTAGGAACTCAGCAAGAAAAGATGAAGTTATTTTTAGAAATCATTTGAATAAATAAAGTACCATTTTCAATTAAAATGCAACATCGAATGAATTATTACCTTTTGGGACTTAATAATTTACAACTTAGTAGAAGTTCCTTTTTTTTTGTAAGTAGAATACAACATCTGACAATTTAAGGAAATTTAATTGAGAAACTAATTGAATAAAAAATGGAAGAAATTATTGAACTTTGAGGTATTGAAATATATATATAAATACGGCGAGGTATTGACAATACTATGGGTTCCAACACAAAGGATCACAACAGTAAGGAAATTCTGAACCGTTAAAACACTTGAATTGATAACAACAAATAAATACAGCAAACAGAAAGTGCACGGCATCACCCTTCGTGCTTTTACTCTCGTTCTCACCATAGAAATTAACAGAAACGGCACGACATCAGCCTTCGTGCTTTTACTCTCAATAATGTGGCACGGCATCAGCCTTCGTGCTTTTACTCTCAATAATGTGGCACGGCATCACTCTTCGTGCTTTTACACTCACATAATATGGCAGGGCATCACCCTTCATGCATTAACTCTCATAATCATGGCACGGCATCACCCTTCGTGCATTAACTCTCACTCACAATATCATGCACGACATCACCCTTCGTACTTTACACTCTTCCTCACAATATCATGCACGGCATTACCCTTCGTGCTTTACACTCTTCCTCACCCAAACAATAGAAACAATATATCCCGGCAAGGGAATCAACAATATGAACAATAACATCCCGGCAAGGGAATCAACAACAATCCAATCACAAATAAATTCCACCACCAAGAGTATGATTACATAGCAACAAGAGAATCACGGAGAAACCAAGAAGCGCAATAACCTTGACAAAACAACACGACATAATAAGCACATGATAACTACACCGACAATCACAACATTTTGGACACATAGCATATATACACGGGGTCACAGAGGAATTTCCAATTAAAAGATAACAAAACAATAAGGAGAACAATTAATTCAATTAAGGCAAATAAGGCCAAGTAACAAGTTAGAGTTAGAGGAAGGCTAACAACATCGTATGGAGCATATAGAGATAAATTATGCAATTAGATAACTCAATCATAACGGAATACTTCCCACATAATGAACATAAGGACCTAAGAACCTGAAAGGCAATTTTCCCACAAATAAGTCCGAGCACACACTCGTCACCTTGCGTGCACGGACTACAATTAGCATAGAAGACTCAAATCCTAAGGGGAAGTCCCCCACACAAGGTTAGGAAAGATACTTACCTCAATCCGGCCAATTCAATACTCAATTTAGCTTTTCCTTTACCAATTCATCAACGCTCGGCTCAATCTAGACAAAAACAACTTGAATACATCAAACAATGCAAGAGAAAACAATTTCAATTAACAAAACTATGATTCTTATGCAATTTGC